GCTTGGCATTATTTGGCATTGCGTGGCATTGCTTGGCAGTGCATTGCGCCGCCTTGCCTGACGTTGCGTTGCGTTGCAGTGTAATGATTTGCTTGGCGTTGCGTGACATAGCTTGGCATTGCTTGGCATTGACTGGCATTGCGTTGGTGTAAGTTGCTCGGCATTGTCAAGCCGTCGTTGACATTGCTTGGCAGAGGTTGGTATTGCCTGGCACACGTTGGAAGTGCCTTGCACTGAGTGTCATTGTGTTGCATTACTTGGCCGTGCTTGTCATGCACTGGCTTTGTTTGGCATGGAAGAACATTGCTTGACAATGCGTGGCGTTACTATGCGTTGCTTTGGAATGCTTGGAAGCTCCTTCACTTACTCGAGACTGCTTCGCAATCCTTCACAAGTCTTTGAGTTGCTTGGTGTTGCTCGGCTTTGCTTGGCATCGCTTGGCATTGCATTGCCTTGCGTGGCATCAATTCAAAATGCCCAGCATTGACTTGCACTGCTAAGTATTGCTTGGCCTTGCTTTGCATTGACTGGCATTGCGTTACATGTCTGTGCAGTTGTTTGCGCTGCTTGGCATTGCTCGACAGTGCTTGGCATTGCGTCGCATTGCTTGGCAATGCTCGACATTGCTTGGCATCGCTTGGCATTGTTTTGCGTTGCTCTGAATTGTTTTGCATGGCTTTGCATCGCTTGTCATTGTTTGGCATTGACTGGCACTGCTTTGCAATGGTTTACGTTGCGTGGGATTGTGTGGCATGGCTTTGCATTACGTGGTATCGCATGGCATCGATTGGCATTCGTCGCATTGCTTAGTATTGCTCGGCATTGCCTGGCATTGCAGAGCATTGCTGGGCATCGCTTTGCATATCTTTGCGTCGCTTAGAATCCCTCGGAATGGCATTGGATTGTCTTCCACTGCTTGGCATTACTTGGGATTGCTTGGCCTTGCTCTGAAAACAGAGAGAAAGCAAGACCAAGGAACCCAAAGAACCCAATGAAAGCAGGCCTTTCAAAACAAGTACGGAAACACGACCACAAGAACCCAGGGAACGTTGGGAACCTCGAAGAAGGCTGGGCGGCGCATGCCTAAATCCCACCAGATGTTCAAACAATGGGCGGGTACAACAAACGAGTGTCCAGGCGGAAGAAAAACATGGGACAGAAGAGCGGATGCAGGGAGGCTAGTGTTCAAGGTCGACTTCCTCAGGCATGAGAATCCGAAGTGTGAAATAATACAGCAGTCAGGCGGATCAAGGTCGGCTGCCTTTTCGACACTGGGCTATCGCCGAGCTCTTCTCTAATTTTCTGACCACACTTCCCCGCATCCCCAAACAAATTGACGAAGGTTCTTAAGCGACAGGGCCCTCGCCCAACATTAAGGGTCCGTGGGCGCCCGTCTTTCAGGGGGGCGACTCCCGCAGTGGCAAGGAGTACGTACAAGAGATTATGCGGGAAGGCCTCGGGCCGGGTGTATTGCAGCATCGCTGGTGCATCCTGGCGTTACGCTGCCCCCCCCCCCCCTCCGCTTCCATTGACCTCATTTCTCCAGTCCTCCTCAAATTTGCCCTCCTCCCCCATCCTGCTCCTCCTCAATCTTCCCTTTCCACTTGCGGAGCGATGCTGAGAACAGCAAGCGCAGAACCATATCAAGAAGTTCAGAGGCGAGAGCCTCCCTGCGTGCCTCAGCCCTCCGTGGCGGCTGCCTGGTCCTGATTTACCCCGCCCTCTCCCCTTGTCCATCGACCCCATTTCCTCTTGCACCTTGCCTCTTACACTGTCCTCGTCCTTCTCCTCATCTGTCGTCCCTCCTCCATTTCCGCTCCCTCCGTCCAAGAATGATCTTCCGCGACCCCTGTCGTACCACTCATATTCCCTGCCTTCTTTTTCCCCTTCTCATACTTAACCTCCCCCACTTCCTTCTCCTCCTCCTCCTCCTCCTCCTCCTCCTCCTCCTCCTCCCCCTCCTCCTCCCGCCTCCGTTTCCATGATCGCCACTGACCTTGCTGAGGTACCCCTCCGAATTCCCAGTGCATGCCAAGCTCGTGCTTCCTGACAGCCCATTGGCTCCCGAGCGGCCTGGTCAACAGTCAGGGTTCCTCTTATTCCACAAATCAGATTGCCTCCCTCCACCCCCCCCCCGCTCCGTCGCCTCCGCGTCTCAGCTGTCGAGCCCGGAGGAATGCCCACCCTCATCCCGATTCAGATAACCCTTGGAGCGGACTCTCGCCGTGTTTGAGATGGCGGATGGATGACTACTGGATGCATTTGTTCGGAAACCAGCGGGATGGCGGCCATGACCACATAGTTGCCAAAAGAGCCGGCATGCGCGACAATGGCATAACAGATGCCTCCTCGAGTAAGATGTTCCCTGGACAGCTTGTCCTCGAAGATCCTACAGAGACGCGCAAGCTGGCTGTGAGCCTCTCCAGATCTGGGATCGGTGGCCCGTGGTCTTCCGTGCCGTCTCCCGGGTGGGCTCCCGTGTGGTCCCCCGTGTGGGCTCCCATGTGTGGTCTCCCGTGTGATCTCCCGTGTGCTCCCCCACACGATCTCCCGTGTGGTCTCTCGGGAGGTCTGCCGTGTGGTCTCCTGCGTGGTCTCCCGTCCAGTCTCCCATGTGGTCTTCCCTGTGGTCTCCCTGTGCGCACCGCGCAATGACATCATCGCTTGCTCTTCACTCATCCTGTTTAGGGACTTCCGCCACCGAGGTGCAAGTCCTGCGACTACGCCCGAGGCCAGGCAGAAGCGGGGCGCCCGTACGAGCTCGCTTTCTCTGACGGGATCCTCACGGCGTAGGCATTCCCAGAGAAAGAGAAAGAGAGAGAGGCAGGTTTGGGCACCTCGCGTATGAGTGACACCAGGTTCGACCCGTGGGCTGGAGGCCAAGATCCCAGGTCAGCGGTGGCTCCCGGAGGTTCCGAAGAATGCCGCGCCTGTGAGAGGGCGCGCCGCTTTGGACACACTGGAGGCGAGCGCTGTGCTTTGCACGCTCCGTCGTAGTCGTTGTCGTGTCGTTCGTGTCGTCGTCGTGCTTTCTTCTGGGACTTGGTCTGCCCCCCCCCGCGCGCGGGACTCGCCACGATCTGAGATCTGAGATCAGATCCTCTGAGCTGGCCTTCAAATACCACTGTATACGCCGTTGTGTGCACTATCCTTCCCTCCGCCCTTGAGCAGCGCCCTCGCCAGGACTCATGAAATCGCGGCAAGAAGCAATGTCCTTGCCTTTGGGCGCCAGAATTTTGTGTTTGTGAGGCGCCGACGGCGCTACCCAGCCGAAGCTGCCATCGCCACCTGGAAAGCTCGCTCGACGTTGCGAATCAAACCCAGAACTCTCTCGGGCGGGCACCCGCGAAAACGGAGCCCAGATGTCCTCAGAGGTCCCTGGAGGTCACGGGAAGGCTTCGAGAGGTCCCCAAGTACCTCCCGAGGCCCGAGAACAGCCAAGAACATCAAAAAGCCTCCGTCTTGAATGTGCCATATACTATCTTCGACGTCAATATTCGAAGTCAGCTCTTCTCGGCCTACCCCAAACCGTGCTTGCGTTCAGGAGTTGTTTCGTGTCTCCCTACGGGATTGGTCTGGCGAAGATGGTCCACCTTGCCGTCCGTTACCGCCTCGTTGCCGCCTCGTGCTCTGGGTGGATCAAGCGAGACTTCGCCACGCTTACGCCACGCAGCCGCCTGTTGCCGCCTCGCCGCCCGTTGCCGCCTCGTGCGCTGAGCTGGTCTGGCGAAGTTAAGCCACGTTGCTCCCCGTTGCTGCCTCGCTGCCGCCTTGTTGCCGCCTCGTGCGCTGGGTGGGTCCAGCCGAAGTTTCGCCACGTTGCCCCCTATTGCCGCCCGTTGCCGGCTCACTGCCGCCCGTAAGCACTTCGTTGCCGCCTCCTTGTCGCCTCGTGCGGTGGGTGGGTCCAGCCGAGGATTCGCCACGTTGCCGCTGATTGCCGCCGCGTTGCCACCCCGTTGTCGCCTCGTTGCCGCCTCGTGCGCTCGGTAGGTCTGGCGAGGTCTCGCCTGGTGGCCACCTCGTTGCCGCCTCGTGCGCTGGGTGGGTCCGGCGAGGTCCCGCCACGCTGCCATCTGTTGCCACCTCTTTGCCGCCTCGTGCGATGGGGGGGCCTGACCGAGGTTTCGCCACGTGGCCCCCCGTTGCTGCCTCGTTGCCGCCCAGTTTCTGCCTCCTGCGCTGGGTGGGTTTGGCAATAGTTTTGCCACGTTGCCTCCTGTCGCTTAGATGCCGCCTCGTGCGCTGGGTGGGCCTGGCGAGGCTTCGCCACGTTGCCGCCCGTTGCCGCCTCGGTGCCGGCCCGTACGCTGGGTGGTTCAGGCAAGGTTTCGCCACGTTGCCGCCCGTTGCCGAATCATTGCCGCCTCGTGCGCTGGGTGGGTCGCCACGTTGCCACTTCGCTGCCGCCGCGTTGCCGCCTCGTGCGCTGAGTGGGTGCGGGGAGGTGTCGCCACGTTTCCGCCTCGTTGCCGCCTCGTGCGCTGGGTGTGTCTGACGAGGTTGCGAAGTTTCGCGACGTTGCCGCACGTTGCCGCCTCGCTCCCGCCTAGTTGCCGCTGGGTGCGCCGTGTGGGTTAGGCCGAGGTTTTGCCACGTTGTCGCCCGTTGCCTAATTACTGCCGCCTCGTGAGCTGGGGGGGTATGGCCGAATTTTCGCCACTTTGCCACCTCGCTGCCGCCGCGTTGCCGACTCGAGCGCTGTGTGGGTCCAGCGCGATTTCGCCGCGTCGCCGCCTCGGCACCGCCTCGGTGCCGCCTCGTGCGTTGGGTGGGTCCAGCGAGGCTTCGCCAAGTTACCGCCCGTTGCCGCCTCGTTGCCGCCTCCCGCGCTGGGTGGGTCCAGCCACGTCGGTTGCACCGCATAGCCTGCACATCCACAGGGCAACACCTCGCCGGGACCCACGCTGGATAGCTTCGAATTCCAGCTCGACCCCGATATTCGATAAAACGTTGTGGATATTCGAGGTGCGCCCCCCCCCCCCCCCTCGGGCGGGCTCCTGGGAAGGGGCACGCCGTCGCCCCAGACAGCGGCGCGTCGGGAGGCCCCTCTCCGGCGAGCAGGAACCCCTTCAGCCGGCCAGCGCACGTCTGAGGGCTCACACCTGCTGCCGGGCGCGGAAAGCAACCAATATCAGGAGCAGAAGGAGGAAGAGGAGGAGGAGGAGGAAGAGGAGGAGGAGGAGGAGGAAGAGGAAGAGGAGTCTGGGTACACTGACAGGGAAGAGACGAAGGCAAGCGGACAAGAAGCGAGAAGAGGGCAAGAAAGTCGATCTCGCTCCCTGCCTGCTGCCGCTACGTCAACTTCATCTGGCTGCCATGTTCAGCGCTACTCCCTGCGGCTAGAGCCCGAGGAGCGTGCGCAAAGAATGACGTATCTTCGTTGCGCGCGAAAAATAAAAGAAAAGGTGGGATGGGCGGAAGCGGGGGGAGCGAGGGACGCCAAAAGGAGGGCAGTGGGGGATGTGAAGCAAAGGCGGAAGACCTGGCTAGAGCGGGCATCACAGATTGCTCCGGCGCGCCGCTCAACGCGTCGTTGACCACAGCATCGCCTTTGGGGAGGCGTCTCATCTCCAGCGAGCGCGCGTCGAAGCAGTGCGGGTAGAGGTCAGCAGCTCCTCCAGCGGCGGCACGAGTAATGGGAACTGCAGGACTATCAGTGTTTGCGGTGCTGCACTCGCTATCGTTTTCAGCCGATGTGAACATCGTGAAGACAATGCTCAGCAACGACTGTATCCGCTTGGACACGTAGCAGCGCATGGAGACGAATCGTCGCAACGACCTTACCGCGAGATCACCACCAGCATCGGCAGCAACAGGTACGTGTAGAGGGCCGTCGCCACCATGAGGCGCACCAGGAAACGCTGCAGGAACCAGTGTATGCAGAAGAACTGGATGAATATCTTGTTCGCCACCAGCGACGCTAGCAGCGTGAACGCGCCGAGGATCATCATCGCATTGACCAGGGGGGGCATCGTCGTGCAGGCCACCAGTATGGCGACGAATTTCAGATTGAGGAACGGGACGAGCATGCAGAACAGTGTGCACAGGATCGCGCAGGGTAGCAGGAACACCACCAGCGGCCGATTCGGGGCGCTCTCGAGCACTGGCGGAGTCCCCACAGGCATCATGTGCATGTTGAAGAAGACGTTTGTGCGTATGTTCGCCACCAGTAGCGGCAGTAGCACGAGCGTGCCGGAGATCTGCGAAGGCAGGTTCGTGTAGAACGTGCTGCAGCGGGAGAGGTTTGCCACCAGCAGCGGCGGAAGCAGGAGCATGCCCAGGAACGGCAGGAGCAGTTTCGTGCAGAGCATCACCATGAAGAGCTTGAGCGGGAGGTCGGGATGAACATCGGCAGCCACTCTAGACGGGGCGGCGCGAGGACAGTCATGCAGATGAACTTCGGGGTGCTCGGGGCGTGCAGCGTCAGCCACTCCAGGCGGTAGGACAGGATGAACGTCATCATGCAGAGCTTCTTCAGGATGGCCATCCTCATCGGTTCGAACTTCTGAACCACGATTTGGAATATCATGCAGAACATCTCAATCAGCAGCATCACAATTATTAGCACCGCTGTGCCGAGGGCGAACGTCATCAACGGCAGCAGGAAGTGCTTCGTCGTCGGCAAGTGGGGCAAGCGGTCCAGCGCCAGCACCACCGCGGAGCGGAGCGGCAAGAGCTAGTGGTGGACGAGGTCCAGCACCACCAGGAGGACGAACGTGCATGTTCTTGATGAAGTTCGCGACGGCGGCGAGCTCGCTGTCGTAGCAGATGCCCAGCGGGTAGAGGGGCCGCGGAGCTGGTGTCGTTGCTGTCACTGGCATATGATGTGCAACAGCTCGTGGGGGCAATAGCAAATGAAGGAGAAGTGGTTGCCGAGCAGCAGGCTGGCGTGCGTGTCCGCCGTGCAGCACCTGGCAAGCGCGCCGATGAAGGGCACAATCACTTCTAAGATGTGGCATGACGAGCAGCGTCATCAGCGTCAGCAGCGGACGCCATCGCGTGGGCATATGGAACCGCGGTCCTCGAACGGCGCGGCGCTCGGCCAGGTGGCCTCGATGAAAATGGCCATGGATTCCTTTTGGCCCAAGTGGGGAGGTACCCCACTTGAGCCAAAATGGCTACGGAAGAAGGAGGAGGAGCAGGAGGAGCAGGAGGACGAGGAGGGGGAGGAGGACGCAGAGGAGGTGGACGACGAGGACGAGGAGGACAACGAGGAGAGATGAAGGGAGGGGTGGGAGGACGAGGAGGAAAGGAGAAGGGAGATAAAGGGAAGCTGGGCGAGGAGGGGACGGGAACGGGAGAAGGGGAGGAAAGAGCAAGAGAAGGAGGATGGCAAGGAGGAGGAGGAGGGCCGTTGAGAAGCAAAGCTGCAAAGTTATGTCCTGGAGATGCCGCGCTTCGGAAAGTCCGCGCGCCCTAGGAGCGTCGCAGATGACTCAAGAGTGCCTGGGATCTGGCGCAAGAGCTCCGAACGAAAAAACATACATAATTGCGACTGCAGCCAAACTCTGCCTAGGATGTCCAAAGGTGGCTGCACGAATACCCGAGCGTTGACTGTAGACCTTCGTCATACGAACTACGCTGCTGACGTACATGACGCGATCAGAGGCACCTGAGATAATGATGGTGAAAAGGTCGGCTTGGCGGGTTGGGCAAGCTGGGCAGATTGCGCTGTGTGGGGAGGGGCGAAGCTTTGAAAGGCTTCCGAAGCCAGCTGAATTGGGCTGGGCTGGCTGCGCGGGCTGGGTGGGCTAGACTGGTCGAGCTAACTGGGCCAGCCAGGCTGGGTGAGATGACTGGGCTGGCGTGGGGTATGGGAGTGCACCAGAGGGCCTCCGAGGCCATAATACAGTTCTGGCCAGAATCAGAAGAACCAGTTGCTGAAAAAGCCTCTAGACTTGACTGGACACGTAAAGCTGGCTGGTCTGAGGCGGCTGGAGAGGCCCGCTGGGCTGGCTGGCTCATCGAGGGGCGCGGCCCACGAGGAAAGCTGCTGGGCGGGCCGCCCGTGAGCGCTGACGCCCGAATGGGTTCTGGCAGCCCAAGGGCCGCCAGGAGCGTGAGGTTCGCATCGGTTGGCTCAGAAACGTATCTGGGATTATGTTGTTCCCATAATGTTTACGGACCACGTCCCAGAAATAGTTTCGAGCACCCGGAAAAGTGTCGAAAGAGTGTCGAAACAGTGTCGGACGAGTGCCCCTCAGGGCCCGACGCGTGAAAACCCTCGAGTTTCGATACGTTTCTGGTGCTCGAAACTCTTGCTGGTGATCAGAGCTAGAAAGCAGGTGGGAGCATCACAAATCTGGGAGTCTTGACCCGTGGCGACGGGAAGGCCGCCGCGAGCGATAGGGCTGCAGCCTCCGACGCAGGATCGTACAGAACCAGCACAAACAGCACTGCCACGTCTGGCCGCGCGAAGGTCCCCCCCTCAAAGCGCGAGGACGTTATCTCCTGCGGCTCCGAAATCGTGCTTAAGGGGAGCAGAAATCAAGTGGCCCAAGGACACACCAATACATACACACAAATAACAGGATTCCCACATGTTCCTACATTTTCTGGATTTTGTCTTCCCCCCACTTCCCATAGTTTCCCATGTTTTCTGGGGAATCGACGATTAATGGTGTCTGTGTGTTTTGTCCCGCTCCTGAGAAAAAAGCAGTAAAGCCAACCAATATAGTGAGGATGCGCGATAAGGGTGCAAGGGCCTTGGACGCACACTTCGAAGCTTCTCGAGCGGGGCGCGGCCAACAAAAGCAGCCAAGGATGGACCGAGGAGGCAATGATGCAAGAGTGTCCTTGAGAAGGTTGCCCATCCTTACTACGCGGGTTGAGCATCTGATGTATTGCACCCTCCGTAAAAGCCGTGCATTCGCTCGTGATGTGAGGTAGACTTCGCAGCCTTGGGGACGGATAACTTTCAAATAAAGGGCAGCGTGGACGGCGCGAGGATTCTGGCAGCATCGCCAGCTTTCCAGGAGCGGAGTCTGGCATCACAGCGGCCATTGGCCGCGACAACGCTGCACATTGCGATGCAGAGCCGCACCGGGGAACGAGGTTCTGGCAATCCGATGTGGCTCTCCCGGGCGAACTGTGGGGATTCCCACACCAGGACTCATGAGAGGCCTTGGGGGCCCTGGTACCAAGCAGGGGCATAGCCTAGTAAGCAAAACAATTACGTCCTTGTGCGCGCGCCCAGTCAAGGATATCGAATCATCCGATCGTGACTAGTAACGAACAAACCAGAGGGAAGACAAAGACCAACCAGCCGCACACAAAAAACACGTGGGATGGCATGGCAAGAAACACGCTGGCACAACAGGGCTGAATGTGCCAACTCACGTTCTCCACTTGTGTACCGTCGTTCTGGAGCGGCGGCACGAGGGCCCTCTTGGGGCCCTTTTGGAACCCTCTTGGGGGAGCCTTGAGAGCCCTGAAGGGCCTCTTGAGGCCATCGCGGAGGCCATAGATCAAAAGGGGGGTCCCCGAGTTGCCCTCCCCCACCCCGAACCGCCAGAATCGCCTCTTGGAGCCACCTTAGGGCGCTCTTGGACCGCTCTTGGGGCCGTGTGGGCGGCCTCTTGGGCCCCATCTTGGGCCTCTCTTGGGCCTCTCTTGGGGCCTCAGAAGCGAAACGGCGAGAAAGCCAGAATCATTGATTTTCTGATGGCTTTCTTATCAAACCAATTCGCCTCTTCGGGGGGTCCTGCGGGACTCCGGGAGCACTTGGAACCGTCTTGTGGTCCTCGTCGGGTCTCTTGGGGGCATGTCGAAAGCTATCTTGAACCAACGTCGGCTATCGTGAGCCATCGTAGAGGCCATCTTGGAGCATCGGAGGCCCTCTTCGAGTCATCTTGGGCGCCCTGCTATTCTGCAAAAACCCTCAAAAACCGTCAGGAAGGGGGGGGAGAGGCAAACATCACCAGAGGGAAGAGGAATTTTGGAAGAGGAACAAACTTGCCGGACCACATTCGCCCAAAGGACTGATGGGATTGATCCCTAAAACTCCAGACCCCTTCGGCGGGACCGGCTTTCCAGGCTGGGTCGGGAATCTGACGGGCCCCCGGAGCCGAAAAAGGCCCGAAACGTCTGGCCGTGATTTTCACATGGCGAGAAAAAGTGGGGGTCTTCTGAAGGGGCCCTGGGACACGCAAATACATAGACACAAATGCCAGGATTCCCCATATTTTTCCATACCTTCTGGGTTTTTGTCTTCCCATCTTTTCCTATAATTTCTGGGGAATCGACGATGACTTGTGTAGTGTGTTTTTTTCCCTCCTGATCTTCTGCGGGGTCGAGAGAGGAGGACTGCAGAGCCGAGTCCAGCCCTCACCATGCAGAGGGCTGAGGCCCGGGAGAGCGGGTTGGGCCGTGCCCCCCCCCCCGGGGAGGGCGCGCGCAGGGCCGCGCCTGAGCGAAGAAGAGCCAGGAGCGCGTACCTCGGAGGGCGCGTTCCGTCGACCATGCCCCTCGCATGCCCCTCGTTGGCAAGAACATGTTTACTTTGGACGCCCGAAATGGGTACGGAAAAAATGGGTACAATGCCCAACAACAAATGTTGCCCCAAACCAACAGCGGTCGCTGTTGGGCAGCCGGCCTTCTGTCTCAAGTGGACACAGGCCGCGGCGGCGCAGACAGCGAGTCCTGTTCAGAATGAACACGACATGCTGTTGGGCATCGTACCCATTCTTTCCGTACCCATTTCGTTCGTGCAGATTTGCCACTCGCCACTCGCAATAACGCCCGAGACCGGCCGCGCCCGGCCCCCCCCCTTCCCCCCCCCACCCTGGTGACGTCACGATTCGCGCCGGCGCCGTCTACGAATCGGCCATTCCTCGGCATTCCCAGACGGCGCTGCCGGAAATCGTGGCGTTACTGGCCACCTCTCCCCCTCCCCCCCGCCAGTCACGCCCGTTATCGCCAGAGGAAAAACTTTCTCCAAGTCGCACCACCATCAAAAGTTAGAAGGCAACTCCTTGGAGATCTTCGTAAGAACGATTCATACTGATGGCTATGAGCCCAAACACTAAAGCCACTCCGCCAGGTGAAGCAGAGTTAAACGGAGGCCTACGCAACACTGAGCAGCATCTAGCGGGACTGTGCCAGAAAAGGACTGCTTCCGACCACGGATGTACCATCGCCAATGTTGAATTCAATTTCACAGGAATTGTATCCTGACCTCCTCGTCGTACCACCAAACGCGTCGGCACGCTCTGCTTGATCATTCCTCGCGTGGTGCGCTCTCAAGCCGCAAGAAGCATCAGCTTCTGCACGCATCGCATCGGCGCGTTGCAGACTAAAGTCCGCGCCAGGGACTTCCCAGACTCCGTGACCCCCAAGCACGAAACTTGCAGAAGCTACACGTATGGAGGGCGGCCCGTCGCACTCACCATACAATCTGACTCTCGTCGGCACTTTCTCGAGCGCATGGCCCATAGAATTGCATCGAAAGACTGCTGCGCCGAGAGAAGGCGGGCCGTTCTCTGAATTGGGCAACTTTCCTGACATCTCTTGTTGCTCATGATCCGCCAACGTGCTACGCGCACGTAGAGCCCCAAAGCTCATGCACTAGTGAGCGGCAAGCGGACGTTCAGGCTTTTCTGAACCCTGGGCACCCGACGTGCCAGAACGATCGAAACCCTTTTTGCAGGGTCTTCTGGGCCTTTCCGGGCCCCTCTGGGGAGTGGTTCACGACCCTCTCATGACCCAAGCTGAGGACCAAAAGGAGGATGAGGAAGACGAGAAGAAGGAGGAGGAGGCGGAGGAGGAGGAGGAAGACGAGGAGGAGGAGGAGAAGGAGGATGGGGAGGAGGAGGAGGAGGAGGAGGAGGAGGAGGAGGAGGAGGAGAAGGAGGAGGATGGGGAGGAGGAGGAGGAGGAGGAGGAGGAGGAGGAGGAGGAGGAGGAGGATGTGCGTTCATGCTTTCTCGCCTCAAAGAATGCGCTGGGCTGGGTGGCCAGGACCTTCCCGATCCGAGACGACCCCCAAGAACCTCCGAATACCCCCCCCCAAAAAAAAAACAGCGGAGCACCTCCAGAGGCGCCGGGGAGATCCCCCTGAAGACTTGGGCGTGGCTTAATGGGGGGGTCACAAATGGGGGGGTCAGAAAAGGTCCCCTTTCGTGCCCCTTTCGGGCCCCTCCAGAGCCCCAGGGGGCTCGTTTAGGTACCATTTGGGTACCTTTTCGGACCACCCGCGACACCCCCCCATTTATGACCCCCCATTACGCGGCGCCCAAAAGACTCCAACGGGGAGACTTCTATGGCACGGTGATCGAATGGGCAGCAGGCCACCTGGTTATCCCGCTGGCAGTTACCAGCAGCAACATGGTTGCGGGGCAGCGCTTGTGCCCATTCTCAGGGTGTTGCATGAGAAGCCCTTGGCGAGAAAGCTCGGAACCTCCAAACTACAGATAAGGCACGAGAAAGCGAGGAATTGAGGAAGGGAAACATGGGTTCGCATCGTGCCTTCCTGCAAGCATGTTGAACTATGTGTATGTATGTGCGTCTGAGTGCACATACACTTGCACCTGTATGCATCAGCGAGCCTGGACATTATGCACAGCTCATCACGGTTTCTCCGAAAGGTTACTTCCAGCAGCCTCTGCGACGCTGCCGCCAGATTCCGCCAAGACGAGCCCCCCCCCTTATTTCCAAAGAACGGAAGACATGTGCTGGAATGGGCCATGCGAAGGGAAAGCGAGAGAGCAAAGAGAGGACGACGTGGAGAAGGAGAGAACATGATATACATATATATATACATATGTATATATGTATATATATAAATATAAACTGAGATAGATAGAGAGAGAAAGAGAGACAGAAAGAGAGACAGAGAGACAGAGAGGGGGAGGGATGAATAATACGCACATGACATGGACATAGAGAGAGGGAGAGAGAAAGAGGGAGATGGAGAGAGATAGGAGGAAAGAAAGAGACAGAGAGAGGGAGAGAAAGAGACAGAGAGAGAGAGAGAGGAGAGCGGGCACGATAGCGCAGTCGGCAGGCAGGGATGGGCGTCAAAGGTACCTCGCGTCGTGAAGCCACCATGATTGTGCGAGAGCCTTTGCCTCGTTGCACCAAGGCCTGTGAGCGCGAAGTGCGGAGACGCCAGATGTATGAATGCTGGGCTATGGGTACGAGACAGATATGGACAAGGGCAATGACCATAAACAATGACAAGGCAGACGACAAGAACGTCTAGAGGGGTGGGGGCCAGGACGAGAATAAGAAAGATGGCGACGGCGACGACGACACAAGCGAGGACAGGACGTGGAGGATGGCGCTATGGAGGGCAAGGGCGGGGGGGCAATGGTGAGCCCAGCGTCGAGAAACTGTGGCCTCTGGCAAAGGCGCACGGGTCAGCCAAGCAAGCTAAACCATCGCATCTCTCCCCCTCCTCCTGCTCCCGTTCCTCGGCCGAATCCCTGTCCTCATCCCCCTCCTCCTGTTCCACCTCCTCGTGTCAATGATACTCCTGGTATGGCCCCTAGTCCACGTTATCACATTTACCATTTCGTCGTCTTCACCAGTTTCTGGGCCACCATCATATTCGGATTCCTCGTACGCGCCCTCTTCCTCAATGGGTGGTCCCCGCAGACGAACCAGCTGAATATGTGAGACAGGTGTGGTTTGCATTGCACCAGGCGGCCCTTGTGGACAGGCCAGTCAGGTATGTGCCCAAGTGCACACGCATGCCCATCCATGCATGGTCAGCCCTTGCCGGAATATCTGCCCAACCGTCCCTGTCACGCCGTGCCTCCGGCGCGTTGGGGCGTGCTAGAATGTATGTTGGTTAGCTGCCTGATGAGGCTTCTGCAGTTTTCTGCGGGCGGCCGGAAAGTCCCCAGACATCGACGCCCTCTCTGAGGCGGGCCACGACCGCCCCCCCCCCGAGATAGCTCGACAACGGCTCCAGAGCAAACCAGAGGATCCGAGATAGTCACGGGAGGCGCCCTACAAGCCTCGTCAAAAATAAACAGAAACGCAATTGGAAATCACGACGATCGATCTTCTCGGGCACTTGTTAGAAACTGCGCTCTTCAATGCTGCGGAGGGGTCGTCGGATTTTTGAAGCCCTTGCGTCCACGTCAGATATCTAGCGTCAGCATTGGAGTAGCGCCGACCATACAATCACCGAAAACAGAATCCCTCAGTTTATTTTTGACGAGGGTTGTAGGAGCACGACCACAAGGCCGTGGGAGGCGAGACGCAATCGAAAACGTGCTGGGTCTCGTCATTGATTGCTTCGGGTGAGCTTCCGCTTCGTGTGAGCGCCAGAAGGCCCCTCGGAGCCTCCGCGCCCCGACAACCCAACCCCCAAGACGGCTCAAGACGCCCTGTGAGAGCTCCCGAGTCGGCCTCACGACCCGAACAAGCCGCATCAACATGGCCCCAGTGAGCCGCTTCGGGGAATCGAAAGAACCGTGGCGCCCGGGACGGCCCCAAGATGCGCAAGAAGCCGCCAAGGTCCTTGAAGGTCCGCAAGAGGACCCAGAGAGGCCATAAAGACACCACCAAGAAGCCTCCAAGACGCCTTCGAAAGGGAAAACGCGGAGGCAAACAAGCTAGGCGCGCTCACGCCATACCTGACACCCTACACCTCCCATCCAACCCTTCCTTCCCGATTGCGCTGATTTCTTTATCCGACGAAGCGTGCCATGGCGGACCTGGAACTGCAAAAAGTGTGGCCAGTGCTGCCGTCCTCCCTTGCCATGGCAGTCCTTTATCTTTACCTCCTCCTCCTCCTCCTCTTCCTCCTCCTCCTCCTTTTCCTCCTCCTCCTCCTCCTCTCTCCTCCTCCTCCTCCTCCTCCTCCTCTCCTCCTCTCCTCCTCCTTCGCCTCCTCCTCCTCCTCCTCCTCCTCCTCCTCCTCCTCCTCCTCCTCCTCCTTCTCCTCCTCCTCCTCCTTCGCCGCCTCCTCTTCCTCCGCCCCGCTGCTGCTGCGCCGCTGCGCTGAAACGGGAACGGGGCTTGCCGCAGGCAGCAAGACAATCCGCCGACCCCTTGGGGATCATCGGCGTGTGAGATGCTTCCCCCTCCCCAAACCCCTCCCCCGGGAGCCCGGTCCGGTCGATTTGGAGGGGGGGGGGGGTCCGGGACGAGCGCTCCACGGGGCTTTTCCTGGCCCAAGAGGGCTTCAAGACGGGCCACGAAGCCCCCAAGAGGCCTCCAAGACGGCCCACGAAGGCTCCGAGAAGCCAAACGACCGCTCCAAGACGCCCACGATGGCCCCAAGACGGGCCAAGAGGTCTCCAAGACGGCCCCTGAGGTCCCAAATGAGCCTCCCAAGAGGGCCCAAAGAGTCAAAAATTGGTGATTTTCCAGAGTGTTTTTCGATGTTTTTTGCTTTTCCGCCTTTCCGGCTTCCCGACGCTCCAAGACGGGCAAAGAGGCCCCAAAGATAGCCCCAAGATGGCCCAAGAGGCCCCCAAGACGGCCTCCAGACGGCCCAAGACGGCCCCAAGACGGCCCAAGAGGTCCCCAAGACGGCCCAAGAGGGCCGATTTGGAGGGGGGGAGGGGGCCGGGACGAGCGCAGCACGGCCGGGACGAGCGGTTCCAGGGCTTTTCCGGGCCCAAGAGGGCCTCAAGACGGGCCAAGAAGGCTCCAAGAGGCCTCCAAGACGGCCCACGAAGGCTCCGAGACGCCAAACGACGCCTCCAAGACGCCCAAGATGGCCCCAAGACGGGCCAAGAGGTCTCCAAGCGGCCCCCGAGGTCCCATACAAGTCTCCCAAGAAGGCCCCAAGAGTCTAAAATTGTTGATTTTCCATAATGTTCTTCGACGTTTTTTGCTTTTCCGCCTTTCCGGCTTCCCAACGCTCCAAGACGCGCGACGAGGCCCCAAAGATAGCCCCAAGATGGCCCAAGAGGCCCCCAAGACGGCCTCCAGACGGCCCAGGACGGCCCCAAGACGGCCCAAGAGGTCCTCAAGACGGCCCAAGAGGGCCGATTTGGAGGCGGGGAGGGGGCCAGGACGAGCGCAGCACGGCCGGGACGAGCGGTTCCAGGGCTTTTCCGGGCCCAAGAGGGCCTCAAGACGGGCCAAGAAGGCTCCAAGAGGCCTCCAAGACGGCCCACGAAGGCTCCGAGACGCCAAACGACCCCTCCAAGACGCCCAAGATGGCCCCAAGACGGGCCAAGAGGTCTCCAAGACGGCCCCCGAGGTCCCAAACAAGCCTCCCAAGAGGGCCCCAAGAGTCTAAAATTGTTGATTTTCCATGTGTTTTTCGATGTGTTTTGCTTTTCCGCCTTTTCGGCTTCCCGACGCTCCAAGACGGCCAAAGAGGCCCCAAAGACAGCCCCAAGATGGCCCAAGAGGCCCCCAAGACGGCCTCCAGACGGCCCAAGACGGCCCCAACACGGCCCAAGAGGTCCCCAAGACGGCCCAAGAGGGCTCCAAGACGGCACCACGAGGGGCCCAAGAGGGCGACCAAACATGTTGAAACTCTAGCTTTCTGCCCCCAGGAGCCCCAGGGGGCCCCAAGAGTGCCCCAAGAGGCCCCCAGAGGCCCTCACGAGGCCGCCCAGACGCCCCAAGGAACCCCCAAGAAGCACCCCAGAGGCTCCGAAACGGCCCCCGAGTGGCTCCAAAACTCGCAGTGTCGCTGTCCGCTCGGACCTCCCCGCGGAACTGCCCGAGACCCTCTGGCGGTGGCGGCGAACAGACACCAAACAAATATCACTCGCCTTTTCACCCCTTCGCAGCTTCTACTACCCCCAGATTGGCATAAACAAGGGGTCGGCGGTGTGGCGTAAGCCTAAGAATCTCCGCAGCCAGGCTCGTGGTTGCAGCGTGATGTCCGCAATGTCTTCACACGGTCATGATTTGAGCCCCCACATCCTCCCTCGCATCGGCGAGTGGTGATCGCCGGCGCCCTCGCTGTAGCACTCGGATCGGCTACACGCAAGAGCGACCCTAGGCAAGAGCGACTTGGTGCGCGGTTCCCTGGGGCTGCGGGGGCACCGACCACGAGCGCGCAAAAGACGCTACTATCGCATCGATTCCGGCGATCGGGGGACCCCTGTGGGCCCGCACCAAAGGTCACTCCGGCTAAGGGCCACTCTTACGTGTAGTCGATCGCAAGCGCGACGAGGAGGGAAGTGAGAGGAGGCTGGCCTCCTCAGAAGGCGGCGGTGCTTCTCAGAAGCCCTCCAGCCTTCGGAGAAGCCGTCTCTGGCTTCGGAGAAGGCCTCGGGAGATTCCCAGAAGGCCAGGGGACTTCTGAGGAGGCCCGCTCCCTCCACGGGCCCCCCCCCGGGCGCGGCGCCGAATTGCGTGAGCCGTCTGGCAGAAACGGAAGCCACGAGTGCGCAGCCACCGCAACTGCGAACTGTAGCCAATCTAACCCCCAAGCCAAGACGGGGAAGGGAACCAAGGAAAAGTGATCCCCTTTGGCGACTGCGACGTAGCTGAATGTTGCTCGGGCTGGCATGCCTGAGGGGAGCACCTGGTTGCCATGAATGGGGATGGGGGGGGGGGGGCGCCCCTCGCACGCGCCGACGGGGTCCACGGATTACACCATGGAAATACGAAGCATCGTCTGGGTATGCGACTCGGCGCTGCTCGGAGCTCGACTCAGGACGAACCCAGAGTGGCACGCTGGCTCGAGAAGTCGCCATGCGACTGGCAACCCGACACAGTGCGCCCCCATTGCAGAGCACTCTGCCTCGCACTGCCTGAGCCGATGGCCGTGCCGGGCCTGGGCAGCCCCGATGCTGCCAGGGGCCACATGAATGGGACAATGACGGCGGCTGCTCGAGCAGACCGAGGTACAAGGCAGCGGGTACCCATCCGAATCGCCGCGCGGGCCTCCGAGCCTCCCACCCACCTTCTCCTCACCCGCACGCCCGCGCATCCCCCCGTCTCCCACCTTCCTCCCCAGCCATTCCGACCCCCAATCGCCCATGCTCGCGGCGTGAAAAATCACAACGGGCGGCCTTCGCCAGGTTTCGGACTTGCGGGGCCCCAGGGTCGTCAAAGTCACTCGGCATGTCCCACGTGGAACGTATCCATGGAATCGCATAGCCACGGGATCGCGCCCTGGAGTTCAGACCGAGAGGGCGTGGACCCAGACGTCTGGCGCTCCAGTTTTTTTTGATGCGTGGACCCCCGGAGGTCTGGACCGCTTCCCCAGGGCCGGCCTTTCATCCCGAGCCGTTTCTGTTGACGGCCCTGGGGCCCGTTGAGGGCCCCCGGGGACCAAAAATAGTCCCAAACGGGCCACTCGAATCTTCTCGGGCCCTCGAATCTCTGGGCCACCCCGTCCCCACACGGTTTCCCCCCGGGGCCGTAGGCGACCGGAGGAGAAGGAGGAGGAGGAGGAGAAGGAGGAGGAGGAGGAGGACGAGGAGGAGGACGAGGTGGAGGAGGAGGAGGAGGAGGAGGTGTAGGAGGAGGCGGAGGAGGAGGAAGTGGGGGAGGGGGAGGGGGAGGGGGAGGAGGAGAAGGAGGAGGAGAAGGAGGAGGAGGAGGAGGAGGAGGAGGAGGAGGAGGAGGAGAAGGACGGGTCGCCTAAGCCCTTCGGAGAAACCCTCCCCCCATCCCCCTCTTTCCTCAGCTCTCCGCAGAGGGTGCCACCCTCAGCAGCGCTGCGCCTTCCGGGGGGGGGGGGGGGCGGCGAGGACCCCCGCAGGAAGCACCCCATTCCAAGCCCTCTCCGGGGGCCAAGCGCCCGAGGGCCTGCGTGCCCAGCGCCCAGAGGCCCCCCGAGGCGGAGGGCCACCCTCCGCAGTCGCCGAGCCCCCCTCCCCTCCCTCGCGTCCTGGGCCAATGCTCCTCAGGAGCCAGGCCGCCTGACTTCGCGCGCCGCGCCCCGCGATGCGCGATCACTCGTCACGCCCTCGCGCCTCCGCCGCGGCCCTCTCGGCGAAGGGGCGCCGCCACGACCCAGACCGCGACGCGCGAAGCGCGGCTCTCCTCGCGCCCCCCTCGGGTGACCCAGAGGACAAGTGTTCACGGCGCCGACGTGCGCTTTTGTCCACCGAAGCCTCCCAGGACGGCGCAGTCGCTGCAATGAGTGCTGGTAATTAAGGCTTCGGGTTGCGCACGGACGGGCCCCCAGGGAGTCCCAGCTGGCCTCAACAGGCCCCCCGAGTAGGAGCTGGCGGCCACGACGGGCCCCCCCTGAGTAGCCCGGGGCGGCCTCGACACCCGAACCCTGCGGGGGCGCGGAGCGCCCCAGGGGCGCCGCCGGAGGCGGCGCTGGGGAATTGAGGCGTTGAGACCGCCCTGGGCCACCGGGGGGCCTGTCGAGGCCAGCTGGGGCTACTCAGGGGGCCTGTTGAGGCCAGCCTGGGAGGGGGCTGTCTGTGCGAAACCCGAGGCGTGACCAAGGAGGGCCGAGCGGGGCTGGCACGCACTCAACTAGCACGTGCCCTGAGGAGCGTCGACCTGGCCGCGCTCGAGCTGCGCGCTCGCGGGGGCTCGGGTGCACGGTTTCCCCCGGGGCCGTAGGCGACCCGAGGTGGAGGAGGAGGAGGAGGAGGAGGAGGAGGAGGAGGAGGAGGAGGAGGAGAGGAGGAGGAGGAGGGGAGGGGGGATGGGAGGCGGCTCTTCAGTGCCGGGGACTCAGAGAGAGAGAGAGACTCGATGTGCCAGCCTGGAGCTCTGGCCTCGTCGTTTGGGAGATCTCTCTCCCACATGTGTGTGATGGGGGGGGCGGGCAGCGCGGGGATGCTGCGGGTCTCTTGCCGCCCGGGACTCTCATTGGCCATGGCCCACCCCCCCCGCCGGGGGGGCGGCCCCCCCCCCGCCAGGGGGATCGCAGGGGGCGCGCTGCAGAGGGGGGGGGGGGGGGGGGGGGGGGGGGGGGGGGGGGGGGGGGAGGAGGAGGAGGAAGAGGAGGAGGAGGAGGATGAGGAGGAAGAAGAATAGGAAGAAGAAGGAACAAAAGCCAGCGTCGCCGAAGGATTCGCCCGACGGACGCCCTACGCACCTGCGTCCGTCGCTGAGCGACTTCGGCCGCCGCCGTCGGTGCGGAGGGGAGAGGGGGGAGGAGGAGAACAAGGAGGAAAAAACGGCGAGGGGGAAGAATGAACAAGCGAGCAAATGCACGTAAGAGGGGTGAGGGGGCCGGTCGTCGAGGCGGCGGTTGGGGTCGTCGACAGAAAGAGCGTCGCGGTGGTCGTCGGGGCCTCGGGGCAGAAAATCAGCATGTCGGCGGACGTCAGGGAAAACATTGAAGAGGCGGAACAGCAGGGCCGAGAACCCAGGGAGATCCAGGAGGCGGCAGGGGGTCAAGCAGGCGATTAGGCTGGATCGAGGGGGAGGAGGAGGCGGAGGGCGAAAAGAAGGATCCTGTTCGTACTACTTCTGGCAAGGGGCACGTTACCTGGGGAGCCTGGGGCCCCGGGGAAAGGGCAACGATTGGGCGGGGTGGGGCACGTCGGGGCGGGGGCGCGCTGCGATCGCCAGAGGTTGCGCGCGAACACTCTGGCATGTGGGGGTGGACCCACCCCCACCCCCACACGTACGAGGTGTACCGTGGCCCGGGGCGGGGGGCCGCGTGGGCTCCCGGAGGTCTCGTCCCCGGGGTGGGCTTGTCGCCCCGAGTCGTCCTTTGGACGGCTACGTGGCCCAGTGAGGGCCCGAGGACCATCGAAAAAACAAAAACTCAGAACGAAGAACTGGCCCCGGGGAAGCGGTCCAGACCTCCGGGGGGTCCACGCATCAACTGGAGCGCCGGATGTCTGGGTCCACGCCCCCTCGGTCCGAACTCCAGGGCGCGATCCCGCGGCTATGCGATCCCATGGATACGCTCCGCGCGGGACATGCCGCGTGATTTTGACGACCCTGGGGCCCCGCAGGCCCGAAACCTGGCGAAGGCCGCCCGTTGTGATTTTGCACGCCGCGAGCATGGGCGATCGAGGGTCGACGCACCCCGCGGAGCCTATCTGCCCCTGGTGCTGTTCGGGCCATGGCTCGGGCCCCCCTGCGGCCACTCCGAGCGATCTGGGCAGCCCCGGAAAGCCCTCCGCGAGGCTCCGCTGCTGCAAGGCCTCCCCGGGCCGGAAAGCCTCTGGGAAACGACGAAGACGCCCAGAGACCGAAGAGCTCCAGACCTCGAACCCCCCCCCCCACCAGGCTTCCGGCGCTCGCATTCGTCCGAGGCGCGGCGGGCTTTTTTTTGGAGGGGGTCTGGCGTAGTTTTTGGGGGACGGTCCCGGGGCCCGTCGAGGGCCCCTGGGGACTGAAAATATAAGCCAAGGCTGGCCGCCCCCCTTTTGTTTGAGCCTCGTAAATTTCTGGGTCAAACCCCTCCGCCTTAACTAGAGGCCTCCTAGATGGGGTCCGAGCAGATGGGGTCGGAGGATTTCGCCGAATCGCCGATACATCGGCGATACATCGCCGATGCATCGGCGATGCGCTGGCGACGTCGACGTGAAGCACATCGGGCTCCACATCGAGCCGCATCGGCGATGCATCGGCGATGCGGCGCGATCCTCCGACCCCGCCTATACTCCGACCCCATCTCCAGGAGGCCTAGAGACTAAAGGCTGCCCCATGCAGCCTTGGGTGTCCAAAAACCGTGTGGTGACAGACCCGGCGGTGACCTCGAAATCCGCAAAGACCTCACCACACGGTCCGTCACCACACGGTTTTGGGATCCAGTCGCCCGAGACATCCTCGGAGAACGACCCAAGTCCCAAAACCGTGCGGTGACCCCGAATCCCCACCGACTCACCACACGGTGTGGTCACCACCCCGTTTGGGAGCCCCCGAGCCGTCCTGGGCGGTGGCAGCGACGACAGGGAGGCCGGGGTGCTCATCGGCTCGCCGTGCTCCTCCTCGGCGCCGGCGTGCGCGGGCCAAGGGCGCGCGCGGGGGGGGGGGGGGGGACGGTCCTGGCGAGCGGCGGGGCCCGCGGCGAAAACGAGAGAAGAACGGTCGGGGGCCGCGGGCGGAGAAGCCCACCAAGACGTGCTCGCGGCGCGCAGGATCATAGTTCCCCTCCTCCTCCTCTTCCTCCTCCTCCTCCTCCTCCTCCTCCTCCTCCGCCTCCGCCTTCTCCTCCTCCTCCTCCTCCATCTCCTCCTCCGCCTCCTCCTCCTCCGCCTCCTCCTCCCCTTCCTCCTCTTCCGCCTCCGCCTCCGCCTCCGCCTCCTCCTCCTCCTCCTCCTCCTCCTCCTCCTCCTCCTCCGGAGGCGAGCGAGGGGGGAAAAGGGAGAAGGAGAAGGCCTTCTCAGAAGGCGGCGGAGCTTCTCAGAAGCCCGCGCGCCTCCGCCTCCTGAGAAGCCTTTTTCTGTCTTCGAGGCAGGTTTCGGAAGCTTCTCAGAAGGCCGGGGGACTTACGAACCTTCTGAGAAGGCCTTCTCCTTTTCACTTCCCCCCCCCTCGCTCGCCGCCGATTTTCGGCCTCTTGAAGGGCCCTATCGGGCCCAGGCATGCTGGCCGGCGGGTAACATCACGAAGGGCGGTCCTTCACAGTCTTCGGCCTCTGGGGGCCCCTACCAGGCCCAAGGGCCATCAATTACTCACTGCGTGGAGCTTCCCATATGTGCATCTCATGTTTTATGTCATGCCATAGTGAGCGTCTGTTCATGATCGTCCTACCCCCTGGCGGCTCCAATGCGCCTCGCCCGCCCTTCCGACCAGCGTACCTGCCCCTCGACCGACGTGCCCCCTTTCTGCCGTGCCAGAAGCCATCCCTGCCTCCCCCCTTGAGATCCGACGTTGGGGGGGGAAAAAAACACCCCGGAAAGACACAACTGGATACCCAACCCCCATCTTCCTGCGGCATTTCTCGAGCCAGATCGATCCGTCATGGCCCGGCCGAAAACTGGGCGAAAACGCCTGGTGCGGAACGAGTGCAACACATGGACTTCAGTGGCCCTCGGGGGCGTCAAAGAGAGGGGCGTCCAAGAGAGGGGGGTCGCAAATCATGGCGAAAGTCCGAGACACGTGCGCAGCCCAGGTCAAGAGACGCATCGAAATAAGAAGAGGGGGCCGTGAAATCCGGGAGGATCTCGTGGCCCCGGCCATGCTATCCATCCCCCCTAGTCATCACACCCCTCTCCCTGACATCCGGCGCTGCAACCTTTTCGATGCGTGTGCCCCCTGAGGTCTGGACAACTTCCCTGGGGCCAGATCCTCATCCCTGATGAGGATCTGGCCCCAGGGAAGAGGAGGAGGAGGAGGAGGAGGAGGAGGAGGAGGAGGAGGAGGAGGAGAAGGAGGAGGAGGAGGGGGAGGCGGGGGGGAGGAGGAGGAGAGGAGGAGGAGGAGAAGGAGGAGGAGGAGGAAGAGGAGGAGGAGGAGAAGGAGGCGGAGGAGGAAGTGGAGGAGGAGGAGGAGGAGGAGGAGGAGGAGGAGGAGGAGTAGCTGGGAGTAGCTGAGAGCGGACCACTGTCCTCGGCCCCACACGGGGCCGCAACAAAAAGAGGGTCAGAAAACCCAATCCTCCTCCTCCTCGAACCCCTCCCAGGCGGGCCGCCCCAGTCCTTGCCCACCAGCTGGTGGGTCTCCGCTGAGCTCGGCAGCGTCGCCGCCTGGGCCTCCTCTTGTGGGAGGTCGGGATGGAGGAGGAACCTGCGGCGCACGGGACCTTCCATCCTCCGACGAGACGACCGCAAACGACTCGACCAAAATCAGTTGGTCCCGCAGCGCCATGGCCGCCAGAATCGGCCTGGGGGGCCCTTCACGTCTCGGGAAGAGGCCCTTCGAAAGACGTCTGAGGTTCTCGGTCCCCTTCGGGGACGGTCCTCGACAGGAGCTCTTGAGAGAGCGCGGGTCCGTCGTGGCATAAAAGCCACAGCCCGTGCAACAAGTGAGGAACCAACGCGGAAAGAAACTGCAACGATGGCTCGGGTGGATCACGAGCGCCGCTGTGCGCACTGCAAGCGGAGCCACAGGGCAGGCCTCCACTCCTAAGGTGGTGGCACTGGCACACGGGGTCGCAGCAAACGACTGTATGCTGGCGTCGGCCACCACCATCTGACACTTTACACACGCCCACTTCACGTCGACACGCTTCAACTGGTGGGCCGACCGACTCAGCAACCTCTGGAGCTTGGGAAGGCGGGCAGTGCAGGGCTGGCGGGAGAAACGTGCATCATCAGCCGCAGTCGCATCGATCATCGCACGACGGGCACGCCTGCGGATGAGCGAGGCGGTGGCATCGACACGATCCACGTCAGGCCACTCGCCAAGCAAAGCTGTCTCTCCCGCCAACTCCGCCGCCCTCCCAGCCCAAATGTCAGCCGACGAATTCCCACAGACTAGAAATAAGTCCCACTGGGGGCATACTAACTCAGAAGATTCATCTCTGTGAGACGCGGTCCAGATCACCTGAATCTTCTCCCTATCAGCTCGAGACTGCCACAACACTCTCGCTTCGGTCCAAAGGTCCTCGTTTGGTCCCGACGGTCTAGGCTCCCCAACGCGGGATCCCCAGGTCCAAAACAAGGGAAGGTGGTCGGTCACAAAGGTAAACGGGCCTCGGGCCTCCGCTAGCGCCAAGACAAACGCAAACACTTCAGCACGCGGGACAGTCTGTTTCTCACCTGCCAAGGGTTTCGCCAAGGCAGCGACAACATCAAAAGCCTGTTGAGACCTGGACAGGGTAACGACGGCGGATCCGCATCGCCGACGTCGTGGGTCATCACTGTACTTCCCACCAGATCCGTCTCCAAAAATGAAGCAACGACCTTCCCACTGGCCTTCCGCGAAACTGGCGGGGCTCCCAAATCGCTCCTCGACTCCTCGAACCTGCTCCTCATCGAAAACAGGGTGGGTGAGGCGCGAGGGAGGGAGGCCCCGAAGCCAGAGGGAAGGTTCGGCCTCGTGCGACGAAACTGCAAGCGGCGCCAGACAATCTGTACGAGAGTAATCATCATGCCCAGCATTTTTCTCACACTCCCAGATGCGATGGAAGAGAGATTCAGCGCTCTTGCCGCAGCGGACACAGGTGGCCTCCGCAAGGTAGCCCTGGGACAGCATCCTCTGTCTGGTCCACTGGCCACCACTGACTACAGTGACGTTTGCAGCCGCCAGCGCTCGGTCTCCATGGCGCTCCAGCCTGCGTTGTTCTCGCCAGAAGGGAATCAAATCCGCGCCCTCAGCAAGGTCCTGTCCCGCCTCATGCTTGGCAGCCTCACGCCACAGTATCCCACGGATATCCGCCGCCAGGTCCTCGAACAGAGCCTCGAAGGAAGCCACGGCGGAGAAGCCTGCATCGTGACGCGAGGGGATGTCCCATTGATCAACAGGCTCGGAATCGCACTCCGTAGGTCGAAGCCAAGACGTAGCAGCAACAGGGTCCCAGCCAGCATCCATCAGCGTGGCCTGGACCGTGGCGATGGGCCCCCGCACATAAGCCCAACGACGTGTCGCAGCCTTCTGCAGTCTCGCACGTATCGACGGCCAGGCTCGAATCACTCGATCATGGAGATCAGGATGTCGCAACCATAGTGCAACCCACTCACGCACGACCTGCAACGGGATCTCCAGCGCAGGGTCAGGTACCGCAGGGTCACACGCCAATGTAGTAGTTAGACAGCGTCCTCTCGCTCGTCCTCCAACCATCTTTCCAGCTTGTCGCCTCATACGCAACAAATCTGCCTTGCTCATGCCAAAGACTTGATGGCCATACAACGCCTGAGGGACTGCACCAGTATTCCACAACCCACAAGATATTCTCGTCAGCGCACCAATTCGCCTCAACCTGTGAATTTTCCCAGCACGTCGCATGACAATCCTGATCCGCTTCTTGGCCTTCAGCACTGTGCGCTTCCGTCCAGCAGCCGCATCCAATCCAAGGTCCACTGCCTCATTCACAGCCTGAACAGGGAAACCGCGAGCTCTCAGTGCGCGGGCCGTCCGCTTTGTCACCGCAGGGTTTGAGCCAATAAGTACGGTCTTGTCCGACATGACCATACGCTGATGCTCGAGGCCCTCTTGGAGGTCCATGGCGGTAGCTATCGTGGCCTGCCCCACCGACGCGCGACTACCTTCACACCTGGCCGTGGTGTCATCCACAAACGTCCAGAGCCCCGTCGCAGGGGACCGCCGATGAACGAACTCCAGGATGGGATGCAAAAACAGCTTGGCCAGTCCCACTCCACGTGGGGATCCCGCCACAATTGATCTGGATGGTAGAATCGGGCGACTCAATGCAGCTCGTTCCTGCAGGTATCTAGGCGCCAAGAATTGTTGAACTTCCAAGGAAATCAAAGCCGCAGGGCAACCAACCTTCCCGGCAAGCCGCAGGAGCATTAGCAGGGAAACAGAATCACAGAACTTCTGGATGTCCAATAGCAGCGTGGGTGAGGTGACTCCCAGCTCCACACCTGACTCATCCAAGCACGCTCTGACCAGCCCAGCACGCAACGCCGAAGATCCACGAATGGCCGTGTCCCAGTGGTCCGAAAGTGTCTGCGACCAAGTCTCGCTAAGGGTAGCTCGGCATTTGCTCCACAGCTTAGGGAGTAGAGCCGTCATGCCGAAGATACGGTCTCCTCCACGAGGTTTCGCCGCAATAGCACATCGTGTGACAGAGCACTGCCTAGGCCACACGCGCTCACGTTCACACAGTGAGAGAATACGTAAGACCTGCTCTCGCGCTGGATCTGGCAGCCGTCGCGCGTTGCCTGGCGCAATCAAATCAAAGCCCAGCGCCTTCGCATCGCTCGACTTATTCAGCACGGAATCCAACTGCGCGAGAGAAATCGGCTCCAGTTCCTCCTCAGCAGCTTGAGCCGAAAGGGTGGTGAGGTACTCCGTGAGCTGGCTCCGCATGTCCACAGGGTCCGTCCAGATGGCCTCCCAGTACCGAGCCTTGTACTCCATGACCGTGTCTGGGTCCGCAATCTGGTCAGCCGGGTTCGGAATCAAGATGACCGTGGGCGCAGGTGGCTCCTTGACATGGCGATGAAGAACACCAGGCTTGCGCTTCCACATCTCCTTGGCCCACAAGGTAAAGCTCCTCCGCTGCGTCGCAAAACCACGGGCCTGCGCCAATGCATGGTACTTCTCAAACCTGGCGAACAACGCCTGCACCTGCTGTACCTCGAGCGACCCCAATCGGCCACCAAGCTCATACACTTCCTGGCGCTCTATCTCGAGAACCTTCTTGCCAAAGACCTCATCCTGGGGCAACGCCTTCAGAGTGCTCAGTTGGGCCACCAAGTCTTTCAAGCACTTGCGTTGCTGACGAAAATCTGCGCGGTGTAGTCGTAGCGCCAGGTACCTACCCACCAGAGTTGTGCACACTCCCCAATGTTCAGCAGGCGCAAAGCGCATGCGCGCCCGCCCAGGCGAGGGCCGCGCCTTTGTGAGCCGTGAGCCCAAGCCTCCCGCCCTTCCAAGGTACGAGTCGCGCATGTCGTCCGTGACGTCACTTACCTCCAAGGTGGCGTGCTCCATCGCTGTGGCCCACTGCGCGTACTCTAGGGTGACCTGGTCCACGGCCTGCCACTGCTGCGGGTTGCCGTACGTGAGGTCGCCAACCGTCTGCTCCATCTCCTTCGTCATCGTCATCATCGCCCCAGCCTGCACAGCCGAGGTACTCCTGTTCCAGACTTCGAGTGGGATGAGGTACGGGGCTGGCGTGGTCTCTACCTCCATGTGGTCCGTGAGCTCCACGTAGGCCTCCTGTAGGTGCTCGTCCAATTGCGCAGCCCTTCTTTTCTGCATCTCCAACTTCCGCATCGAGGTCTTGCTAGTGGGGTCTGGGGCTGGGTGCGGCCGTATAGGTAGCGGGAGTGGCCGCGGGACTGCCGCAGTACGGTACCGCCACGCCTGCGCCATGCCTCCCACGTGCAACCGAAGTCCACAATGTGTCTTCCACGGCACTCGGTGTGTCGTCTCGAGGGAGAGGCGCGGCACCAGATCACTCCTGCAGATGCCGTAATCAATGAGGCTGCCTCGACCCTTGTCACAAGTGATGTCCACATCTGGTCGTAGTAGCTGGCCTCCAATCTTGGAAACGAATTCCTCCTTCTGCATGCGCTGAAACGGGATGTTCCAATCGCCCAGAATGACCCAGGGGTCCGTGAGGGAAAGCACAAACGAAGCCAGCGCACTGATCTTCGCCGCGTTGACGCCGACAAGGCCATCCTTTGGAACCAGGTAGGCTACAATAACCACCAAGTTGCCTCCCCGTAAATGAAGCGTGGCCGCGGAGAAGCCTGAGAACGGGTCCCTGTGGCCCTGCTGGTGCACCAGCTCCCCCATCGAGTCGAAACCTGTGGCCGCCACATGCGACCGAATAGCAATGAACTCACCCCCCGATGACCCCGACTGAGAGCGTCGCGTCGGCGTCGCAGGTGTGGCCATCAGTCGCCATCCATCAAGCGATAGTTCCTGCTTCACCTTCGGGATCTGTTCCTTTGTCACGTGCGTCTCGCACATCATGAAAACGTCCATTTTGTTGCCTGCCTCGTTGAGGTACTTGTGGGCCTGCGGGCCCCACTTCGTGATGTTGCCGAAGGTGATGCTAAACACGAGGCGCAGCAGCAGGAGGCTGGCCCATGTCGTCGTCGTCCTTCTCAGCGTGCGTCTGCGCAGCCGCGGGAGCAGCCGAGGAAGCCGAGGCTGCTGTGGTACCCGCGCCTCGGGCCTGACGGAGACGGGCCTTCGACTGCTCCTTGACGCGCTCGATCGCGATCTGCTGCTTGGGCGCGTCCACCACCGACGGCTCCTGAGCCGCAACCTTGTCCACTTCCTGCGGCTGCACCGCCCCAGGGACTGCGAACACGTCTTCCTCCTCGGCACCGCCCACCTTGCGCCTTTTCTCCAAGTGGGCCTGCTGCACCGCCTTCGCCTGCTTCGCCAACTCATCGAACTCTTTGTACTGGGCGTACGCGCTGCTGACCAACTCTGCCAATGACTGCATGTCCGCCTTGAATTTGAGCAGCTTGGCGGGGAAGGAGGAGGAGGAGGAGGAGGAGGAGGAGGAGGAGGAGGAGGAGGGGGAGGAGGAGAAGGAGGAGGAGGAGGAGGAGGGGGAGGAGGAGGAGAGGAGGAGGAGGAGGAGGAGGAGGAAAAAGAGGAGGAGGAGGAGGAGGAGGAGGAGGAAGAGGGGGAGGAATTGGAGGAGGAGGAGGAGGAGGAGGAGGAGGAGGAGGACCAGGAGGACGAGGAGTTGGATGAGGACGAGGAGGAGGAGGAGGAGGACGAGGACGAGGACGAGGAGTTGGAGGAGGGCGCGCTGAGGGCTCCCAGAGGCCGACCTCGGCCCAAGACCTGCCGCTCCAGTCTCGTCTGAGCCTCAGATCTCTGGGCCCGCCCTTAGTCGGCGGCGCGCACAAGGGGGTGGAGTTAGGGGTTAGGAGGCAACTGCTGGGAGGTCTTCGTCGGAAGGACTAAGGGGGACTAAGCCCCATGGAAGGCTGTTACGCCCGAGTGGGCCTCAGATTAAGCGGGGTTGAGCGGGATGAAGCGGGATTGAGCGGGATAAAGCTGGATCAAGCGGGATTAAGCTGGGTCAAGCCGGATTTGGGACCACGGCAAAATCAGAATTTGACCTCCCAGGAGTTGCATCCGGAGGGGGGGAGGGCTTCTTAGAAGGAGGCTGCTTCCTTGAAGGCGCCGGCCTTACATCTACAGATAAGGCCCGCGCCTTCTAAGAAGCAGGGGTGCTTCTAAGAAGCCCTCCCCCCTCCCCCCACACCCCTCTGCGCGTGGCTGACTTGGGCCGCCGCCTGGCCCGTCCTGGAAAATGAGCATGCCGCCAGTCCGCGCCGGCGATGTGCCGGAGACGTCCATGCGAGAGGCCTCCCGCCGATGGGGGCGTGCCGCGCGCGCTCGGCACGTCTCCGCGGGGCGCCCCGCGCCGACGCACGGGGCGCGGCGCGACAGCCGCGCCTGGCGTCGGGCTGGGAGACATAGGTCGGGGTGCGGGGGCCACGCTGGCTCCTCCGCCGCCTCCTCCTCCGGCTCCTCAGCCTCATTTTCCTCCTGCTCCCCCTGCTCCTCCTGCTCCTCCTGCCCCTCCTGCTCCTCCTCCTGCTCCTCCTCACCCTCCTCCTCCTCCTCCTCCACTTCCTCCTCCTCCTCCTCCTCCTCCTCCTCCTCCTTCTCCTCCAAGTCCTCGTCCTCCTCCTCCTCTTCCTCCTCCTCCTCCTCCTCCTCCTCCTCCTCAGCATCATCAGCATAATCATCATACTCAGCATCAGCATCATCATCAATCTCATTATCCTCATCAGCAGCAGCAGCAGCATCATCAGCATCATCATCATCATCATCATCATCATCATCATCATCATCATCATCATCATCATCATCATCATCATCATCATCATCATCACCGTCATCATCAGCAGCAGCATCACCATCATCATCACCACCATCATCATGAGCCTGAGCATAGCATGAGCATGAGCATGAGCATGAGCATCATCATAAGTTGCATCCTCATTACCACCATCACCATCATCATCATCATCATCACCACCATCACCATCATAATCGCCATCATGACCATCATCAGCATCATCATCATCATCATCATCATCATCATCATCATCATCATCATCATCATCATCATCATCATCATCATCATCATCATCATCATCATGTGCATCATCACCATGAGCATTAACAGCATCATAATCATCATCAGCAGCAGCAGCATCAACATCAGCATCATAATCGCCATCATGACCATCATCATGATCCTCCTCCTCCTGCTCATTCTCCTCCTCCATTATCCTGTCCCTGATCATCCTGCCCCTGCTCCTCATCCGCATCCTCCTGCTCCTCCTGCGCCTCCTGCTCCTCCTGCTCCTGCTGCTACCCCTCCTCCGACTCCTCCTGCTCTTCCTGCCCCCAGATCCTTATCGCCCTCCTCCTCCTCATAATCAATTTCAGCAGCAGCATCACAAATGTCATGCAGGTCACCATCCTCAACATGTGTAGCATCATCAGCAGCAGCATCATCACCTCAGCATAATCCTCATCAGCGTCATCCTCATCATAGTCCTAATCGTCGTCGTCATCATCATCCTTAGAAACACGCCCTGTTCACAATCATCATCATCAACCGCAACATAACCAAGTTCAGCATCAACACCATTCGCGCGACCGGCATTCGCGCTACCGGCATCACCCTCGGTGCCAACATCATCAGCCGTATCCCCAACAGCAGCATCGCAATCATCAAATTGGCCATCATCACCAACACAATCATCATCATCATCATCATCATCATCATCATCATCATCATCAGCAGCACCATCATCATGATCATCATTACCATCAAAAATCAGCAGCAGCATCATCATCATCATCATCATCATCATCATCATCATCATCATCATCATAAACAGCATCATCGGCATCGGCATCATCATCGGCATCAACATCTGCATCAACTACATCGGCAACATGAGCAGCAGCCGTATCATCATCAGCATCATCTTTGTTTACCATGGGCGCCAGACGGGGATGATGAAAATTGCCAGCTTTCCCACTGAGGGAAAGGGGGCTCCACCATGCGAAGCGTCAGCCATGGAGGCAAGGGGAAAGGGAGGAGGACGAGGACGACGACGAGGAAGAGGAGAAACGGGCACGCAAAAAGCGGACACGAGCGACAGCCATCGGTACCGCACGTGCGGCGACAACAACATGTGGCTATGTTTCGCCGCCCCGCTGGCCGATGCTGCAACCCATCTGGGCGGAGCGAAGAAAACGGAGAAACCCGTGTCAATCATTGCCTGGGCACGGGTACGAAGTAAAAGAAAAACCAGATGGCGAACGAAGGGTGTTCCAAAATGAGACGGCGCCGTCATGCGGACTGCGCCACTGGGACCCTAGGTGGTGCCGAAATGGGGCGGCGCCGCCATGCGGACTGCGCCACTGGGACCTGAGGTGGAGCTCCCGATGGTGCCACGGAACGTGTGAAGGGTGTTCCAAAATGAGACGGCGCCGCCATGCGGACTGCGCCACCGGGACCTGAGGTGGAGCTCCCTATGGTGCAACGAAACGTGTGAGGGGTGTGCCAAAATGAGGCAGCGCCGCCATGCGAACTGCGACACTGGGACCTGAGGTGGAGCTCCTTATGGTGCCACGAAACGTGTGAGAGGCGTGCCAAGATGGGGCGGTGCCGCCATGCGGACTGCGCCACTGGGACATTAGATTGAGCTCCCTATGGAGCCACGAAACATGTGAGGGGTGTGCCACAATGGGGCGGCGCCGCCATGCGGACTGCGCCACTAGGTCTTTGGGTGGAGCTCCCTCTGGTGCCATGAAACGTGTGAGTGGTGTGACGGATACGATGACGATTATGTTGATGATGGGGATGATGGGGATGATGATGATGATGCTGATGATGATGATGATGATGATGATGATGATGATGATGATGATGATGATGATGCTGATGCTGATGCTGATGCTGATGCTGATGCTGATAATGATGATGCTGATGATGATGATGATGAAGACGACGATGTGATGATGACGACGACGGCGCTGCTGCTGATAATGATGCTGATGACGATGCTGATGGAGATGATGATGATGATGATGATGATGATGATGATGATGATGATGATGATGATGCTGATGACGATGCTGATGACGATGCTGATGGAGATGATGATGATGATGATGATGATGACGATGAAAATGATGATGAAAATGATGATGATGGTGATGATTATGATTATGGTGATGATGATGATAAGAGGTGGAGAAGGGAGGGGGCAGCGGGAGGAGGAGGAGGAGGAGTGAGAACGCGGGGCGCTGTCTCTTCAAAACGAGGACCCAACACCACAGGATGGTTGAAAATAGGACAACAACGAAAGCGGTATTGAAGAAACGGCCTTGTCGTTTCCAAGGCGAACTAATGACTCGCCGCCCTGACCTGTACGCGGCCCCGCCTGCGACCCGTCGGCATCCTGCCTGCCGCGTCGCGCGGCTGGGGCCCCTGTCTTCCCGAGAGCCAAAAGGTATGAGGTGGGGTTTCGTACTGAGGGGGGGGAGCCAAAATTCGGGGTGATCCAGGGTTGCAGGAAAGGCACACGAAAGGTTTTTTTTTTGTTCGTGACATTTTCGTTGCGTGTCGTCGCGCTTCTGGCCTTGACGATGGGTGCCGTCAAAGCCCCCTTGAGGTAATGCGGATTCAATACGACATCAGAGCTGTGGAAGATGTTGGGCGTGAAAAAAGGAAGGAAAAAAAAAACGAGAGGTGCACGCAATGCGTACCTCTCTTCACTCCCCGCTCGTCCCCCGCCTGCTGCCCGGGCGCGATCCGCGCGCAGCCCCCCCAGCCGCAGGGGGACGGCCCGCACGGGACCTGCCCGGCGACTGGCCCGCGGTCCGTCGGCAAGCTGCCAGCGCGCACCGGCCGAGTCTGAGAAGCCAGCGCCAGTGACGGACTCCATCTTCGACCGTCGGGGATGGGCAGACCCCCCTTTAGTAAAACGTGGTTTAGCGAAAACGCCCTCGGGCCCAAACCTGGCGGGCGCAGGCCTGGAAAATGACGGCCACGGCGCCCTCTCGAGAACCGAAAACGGACAAATCACTAATCGACGTGTCACTGTTGGGGGTTCTGTCCACCCCCGAAACCGAGAGGCCGTCCTCTTCAGCGGGCACGTGACCCGCGCGCGACCTCTGCATGCGACCTGCGACCCGCCCAGACCTGTCACAGGCGTCGCGAGAGCCGCCTCCGCTCTGTCAAACTACGCTGCCCCACTCTCCCTACTACTCTGGCGAAGGACTCTGGGCTGATCTCGCGCATCGCAGTCCGAAACGCACGATGCACGATTATCGTCGCGCCCCTGGGGTTGAGCAGAGGGGGCGGAGCGGGGAGGGGAACAGAGCGAATAGCGAAATGCAATGTTTGTCCCCGATCTCGACGTTGATTTAGGCAGAAAAGGCAGAGAGACGATCGTTGCCCAATGCATCTTAGAAGTGAGAACCGAAACATTGAGGAAGCAACTGACTGCACATCAGGTTCTGCTTCTGGTGCTCTTCCTCCGCCTCACTGTCATCCCCCTCCATTGTGTGTTCTCCTCCTCCTCCTCCTCCTCCTCCTCCTCCTCCTCCTCCTCCTCGCCTCCTCCTCCTCCTTCCTCCTCCTCCTCTCCCTCCTCCTCCGCCCTCCTGCTCCTCTCCTCCTCCTCTCCTCCTCCTCCTCCCCTCCTCCTCCTCATCCTCCCTCTCGTCCTCCTCCTCCTCGTCCTCCTCCTCCTCCTCCTCCGCCTTTTTCTCCTCCTCCTCATCCGTCTCCTCCTCCCCCTGCTGCTCCCCTCTTCATCGTTATCCTCCCCCACAGTCTCTGCCTCCATCTCATCCTCCTCCTGCTCATCCTTGCACTGCCATCGTTCGCCGCTGCCGCCGCCTCGTCATCCTCTTCCGTTCTCTCGTCCCCCCGTCACCCTGTTCCGCGCAGAACGTGGGGGTCGCCGAGCGAGCAGCGCAAGAAGGAGACGTGCGACAGATCGATATCCCCGCCACTGCTGTTGCGGAACTGCCTCCTCCTCCTCCTCCTCCTCCTCCGCTTCCTCCTCCTCCTCCTCATCGTCGTCATCGTCGTCATCGTCATCGTCATCGTCATCGTCATCGTCATCATCATCATCATCATCATCATCATCATCATCATCATCATCATCATCATCATCATCAGCATCAGCATCATCATCATCAGCAGCAGCATCATCAGCAGCAGCATCATTAACCTCATCATCGTCATAATCAGCATCATCAGTATCATCATATTCATCATCATATTCATCATAATCATAATCATAATCGTCAACAACAACATCATC